AACCACTAAAGAATCAACCAAATGAAAAACACCCCACTTTAATGTTTAAATTTTCAGGCATTTTATTTGATTTAGAGGAAGGGAACCATTCAGGATGCTGTGCTGGCCTCTGTCCTAACCAAAAATGTTTTCTATTGTTTTTTTTTTTTTAACTTTAACGTTAATCACGTTAGCCATTGCCAAGCCCAATCCCAGTGATCTGCAGGACACAAAGCAAACCTACTCATCCTTAACATAATATAATATCAGCATCTACTGTTCTAAATTCAGATGTGTGTTCATTTCAATATATTAAATGCTGATTCTGCCTGAATGTACAGGGGCAATATTTATTTTCAACAAAATGGCAACAAGACTATAAGAAACAAGAATGTGAGAATTTATTTTAACCATATCACTTTCTTGGGTACTGGAATAATGTGTAGATTTAGTGGTACTTGTTATAATAAAACAAAGTAATAACAAATAATCTTTCTCCTAAAGAGGAAGTTTAGCTTGTGAGAACTTATTTCATGTAGCTGGTGTGGTGGTAAGTGCTTGTAATCATAGCTCTTAAGGGCCTGAGACAAGAGGATGCCAATTCGAGGCTAGCCTATGCAATAGAGCAAGATCCTTTCTCTAAATGAAAAACAAAAAGCACTTTGTATGTATTCAGTGGTACAGTGCTTTCCTAGCTTGCTTAAGGACCTAGAATCCCCTGTAATGCAAAAAAAAAAAAAAAAAAAAAAACAAAACACTTAATGTTCATTATTTAAAAAAAAACTATGAAAGACTTAAATTCTACTATTAACTTCCATTTTACAAAAAAGGAAATTAAAATAGCTTATTGCTATTTTTGAATTTGTAGAACTAAGCTCTGTTAAATGGTATGTAATCAAACTGTAGAGTGACCGTTTCATTAATTTCAGCTATGTTCCTGATCATTATGGCTAACTCTTTGTTATTTAAATTGTACACAGTTAGACTCTGCATGGGATCTGACATGAAACTGATCAAAAGGCTTTTGAATAATGGGGAATAAACAGAATGGTTAAACATTATTTCAGCCTCTTACCCCAAAGAAGGATCACCAGCACAAGTAATAATAATAGCTGACTGCTTATTGTGTCTCAGATATTGTTGTTAGAGTTTGCTTGTAATGTTGCTAATTTCTGGAACTTTTCCTGGCTCCTATTATCAGCTCCAATGCTAAGCTCAGGCAACAAACATCCTCAAACCAAATATTTCCTTTTAGAATTTACAGAAAGAAGAATATGCAAAGTGATGTGTTACGTGGAAGGGCCACAGCCTTCCACCAGTTCACCTTGTTTCTTGACTCTATTAGATTCTGTCACTGTTACCAAATACCTCAGATAATCAATTGTTGGGGAGGAAAGGTTTATTTTGGCTCATAATTTCAGAAGTTTCAGTCCACAGTTGCTTTCTCTGTTGTCCTTGGGCCTATGGCAAAGCAGAGAAGGTCATGATGAGCTCATATGTGTGTGGTGGGAAGCTACTTACCCTCATAGCTCCTAGGAAGCAAAGAAAGAGAGAGAGAGAGAGAGAGAGAGAGAGAGAGAGAGAGAAAGAGAGAAGGTGGGACTCCAATATCCCCTTCAGGGGCACACCCCCCAATAACCCAACTTCTTTCCTACAGGCCCCCCTGCCTAACGGTTCCACTACCTCCCAATAGTGCCCTGGGCTAGACACCAAGCCTTTAACACACTTAACCTTTGGAGGACATTTCAGATCCAAACTGTAACACTGACCTGCCCTGTCCCCATCAGAAGATTTTCCTTCTGGCTCTCTGGACACACTCAGCTGTGTTGAATCTCTGCTGCTACACCAACAGAACAGACACACTGAGGAACTGTCCCAGTAAAACCTCTCCCTCTAAAAGGAATTCTCTTAACAATAGAATTTTCCCTATCTTAATACACAAGTGAATTAATGCAAAAAAAAAAAACAGTCTGCAATAGATTATGCTGAATTTTATAGACATACAAAGATAAATCATGGAAAAAAGCAGTCTGTAAGCTACAGTTTAGTTGTTTGATGTGAAGAAACACAAGTAACTATTATCTGTGATAAAGTGTTATGAGAGAGAAAGCGTAATGGAAATTGAAAAGAGAGAGCTTACATGCATTTGAGAAGAATCTAGAAAGGCTTCCTGGAAAAGGAAATTTTTATCTGGACTTTGAAGGAGTGGTAAGGCAAGACTTGTGGATATCAGTTGAAGGGCAGTCCTAGTGGATGGAGTGGTGTGAGCCACAAAGATTAAGTGAGGAGGAACACAACCAGGGTGTTAGCCTGCTGGCCCATAGTGTATAGAAAAACTGCCCAGTGTAAAGATGGAGCCAGAGAATTAGTTTGTAATTTGAGTGACATGATAAGGAATGTAGATTTTTTTTTCTTGTGTAAACAGCATCAAGACTAAAAGGACTTTAAGTCCCATTAAAACCTTAATTTTTCTCTTTTTTTGTGGTTGTTAGTTACTTAAATTCATTTTTTAACTGATACGTTCTCTCTCCCTTTAATAATGTATTTGTAATAAGAAAATTACTTCAGACTAATCATAGCATTTGCCAAGCTTTATTTATTCTAAGATTGTGCATTTCAAACAAATAAATAATTGCATCAATTAAATAACATAACCTTCTACATTTTAACTGCAATTTATATGTTGCCACTATAGTTTTTATTTTCTAAAATGTCCTTTGGGATTCTCCTTTCAAGAAAGGCTTTTTATTATCACAGTTCTGCCAGATGCAAATGACTTTATTAAAGCAGATCTTGAATATTTCGTCTTTTTACTCCCCTTTATAATGTTTTTTTATTTCTTATATTTGAAGTGCTGAGGTCTGAACCCAGGAACTTGTACGTGCTAGGCAAGTACTCTACCAATGAACTGAACACCTAACCCAGTTTTAAATTTTTTCTGATTGAAACATTGCACTAAATAATGAGCATAATAAATCTTCCTTGATAACTCCTGAAGCGCCCTAGGCCCAGCCTGACTCTGTACATGAACTAGGAACCTCTATGCTCTTCTGTAGGTTCCCCACACTTCCAACTTACACATTTAATAATCATATAGTGTTTTGGATTTATAGAGATGTAAAGACTTTACATTGAGTATTTAAATGCATATTTTTAAGGTGTATTTTTTTCTTTATTTCCCATAACAACCATGGGGTAGTAAATATGTTCAATTTCAATATAAAATTAATATGTCTAGGGGCTGGGGTTGTGGCTCAGTGGTAGAGCACTCACCTAACACGTGTGAGGCCCAGAGTTCTATCCTCAGCACCACATAAAAAATAAATAAATAGATAGGTAGGTAAATAAATAAATAAAGGTTTTGTGTCCAAATACAACTAAAAAATAAAAAAAATATAAAAATGTGTCTATTTACATTAATCTCGTGGAAATCACTTTTATAAAATAAATGTGATTATCACCAATGCCTATGGGTATTTTGGGTTCAGGGTTTTGTTCGTTTGTTTAACATATTTTTATTGAGACATAATTGTTATATGTCTTCTTAGGGCACATTATGGCAACTCAATACCATGTATAATAATAAAATTAGGGTAATAAGCATTTTCATCTCCAAACATTGTTTTTATGTTCTGGGGATGTCATATGCAAGTCATTTTTAACTATATCAGAGATTATTTAATAGTTCCCCTACTGTGCTATGGAAAACAGAACCAATTCCTCCTGTGTTTTGGTGCCCTTTATTGAACTTCCCTTCATTCACCCACCCCCTTGCCCTTTCTAGTCTGTAGTGGCCTCTATCCCATTCCATTCTTTTATGAGATTAACTTCTTAGTTTCCACAAATTGGTAAGAATGTGTGGTGTTTATCTTTCTGGGTCGGGCTTATTTTTCTTAACATAACATCCTTCAGTTCCATCCATGTTGCTGCAAGTGACAGGACTTCATTCTTTATGGCTGATTAATATTCCATTGTGCATATATACCACATTTTCCTTATCATTCACCCACTGATGGGCATCTAGGTCGATTCATTATTTTAGCTCACACTCTGAGTGGTGCTGCAATAAACATGGGAGGGCAAGTATCTTTTTGGTATAAGGATTTCATCTCTTTGGGACAGATACTCTGTAATCACTGGATCGTACATTTGTTCTATTTTTAGTTTTTGAGGACTCCCTATACTGTTTCCCACAAAGGCTCTGCTAGTTTACATTCCCACTGACAGAGTAAGAGTTTGTCTTCTTCTGAATCCTTGCCAGCATTTATTTTTTTTCCTTTTAATGATATTCATACTAGCTGAGGTAACATATCTTGTTGTGGTTATGATTTGCAGTTCCCTGCTGATTAGTGAGATTAGCACTATTTTCATATGCTTGTTGGTCACTTGTATGTCTTTTTTGAGAAATGTCTATTCAGTTATTTCAATTAGAATACATCAAATACATTGAACTATGACCACGTGCTTAAGCAATAACTGACAGTGTCGGAGCAGTTTGCTTTAATAATCTTTGGGAATTACCAAATCGGCATGCAAGGTACTGTAGTGAGAATACAAAACGATTCAAGTGGGATCATTAGAGGAGAAGGTAACGCTGACTTGTAAGAATCTAAACTATGAAATAATTTCAAAGAAATTATGTTATAATTTTCAAAATGACGAAAGTTTATTTCACATTTAATATTTAGTTTTGGGGAAGGAAACTGGCAAGAAGGAATATCACCAGCCTAAGCATTTTCCTTGTGGGTATTCAATACCAAGTGTTGCTTTAAGAAAGAAAGTTAGACAACAGTATCATTCTCTTCTTACACACTGGAGTTATACACCCACAGCTCAAATGTTTAAAGTGGTAGTGTTTGTGGAATTACTCTGATAGGTTGTATAACCTGCTAAACTAGAAAAACACATCATTAAGCTTTTCACATTCCATTCTGCTTATTATGTTCATTTAGATGCATTTGCTAATAATTTATAAGTGCAGTTTATTAAAATTTTTTAAATTTTCTTTTTTTTTTTTAAAGGAGCCCGCTACATGAAAAAAATGCAAGTCAAAGTGGTCACAACCTAGAAGTCTGCAGAGACAGGAATAACTAGCAAGTAGATACTATGTTATTTTATTATGTTAAGTATATATAGAATTTAGTAGTATTCTGGGGATTTTACTCTATAATGACCAATCTTATAATTTAAAATTTATACTTAGCAGTATTTGTGTTAATTTATATCACATCACAAAAATAATTAGGAAAAATGCTGGTAATTCTGGATTTTAGGAAACTCATTTTCTGTCAGTAATATTGAAATTATTTTTTTGGTCAGAAATATGAGTTTAAATATTGTATCCTCTCTCAGGTTTTATTTTTAGAGCCCTGGTTCAACACTTTTTCTTTCATAAAAAGAGTAAATGAATCTACCCATCTTATGACATATTTAACCACCATGTAAATGTGTTAATTCTTCTCACAAACCATAATAAAAATTATTTTATAGTCATGCTTTGAAGAAACAGAGTGAAACTACATTAGCTTTTGAAGGTTATGTTTCAATATTTTGAGGTGATATTAAATGAAATCTATTCACAAAGGAAATTTCCATTTATCAACACACCCTGACATTTTCAAAAAATAAAATTGGAGTTTAATAATAAAACCATGCAAGATTCCAATGAATGGATTAAAAATGGACTTAAGAATGTGGGAAGAGTGGATAAGATTGTTTGAATGGCAAGAAGAATCTTTGAAAATCTCATTGCTCTATATTAAAGGGATCTGAGTTGATTCTTTCTCCTCAACTGTATCAGGAAGATTGTAATCAAATGAGAAAATGCTCAAGATAAAAGGACTTTAGAAAGTATTTACATAAAACATTTCAAATATTTCACCCAAGAAACTAAGTTTGCAATTAGAAACTGATTTTGCATGCTAAAATTATATTCACATACCTATATTCAAACATGCAAATATATTTGCACTTTCTTCAGAATAAAACTTAATGCAGTTAGTTCTTAATTTAACAAGTCTCTTCCCAGTAGTAATCATGATTATATTTGCAAACAAAAGTGTATGAGTTCATATTAGTATTCACAACAAAAATAATTTGGAAATTGTTCATAAATATTTGTATATTTAAAATCTTTTGGTCATAGATATTTTTGCTATAGCAATCGGAAAATATGTAAAATTGTGTTTCAATTGCTTAACAGTACTGCTTTCTAAACAATTACATCAGCCAACAGAACTAACTTTCTTTTTAATGTTCTTTGAAGGCTTTATGAATGATAAGTCATGGTTGATAAATACCTCATATATAAACTGTATCAAATATTTATACAACTGGAAGCACACATTTTATATACACAATACTGTGAAATAACTAACTCATTAGATATGAAAAATACTTTTATAATGTAAAATATTAGTCTTAATGCATTTGGCTTATAAATGTAGACTTTAACCTTGGATTATAGTAAGGCAATACCTGGTTACACTATGAGGGAGTGGAAAGAAAGTACATCCAAAATTCAAAGACTTTTCAGACAGTTTAGTTGGGCTATTTTTATATTGAAGGAGAGAAAATTGTGAAAACATGTTTAGAGATACCTTGGTTATCATTGACATCAGTTTTACCCAGGAGGAAATCAAGATATCCATTATTTAGAGGGAATTTAGGAACTTTCCAGCAGAATTGTAAAAAAGGAAAAATATATCTCCTAGCAGTATGAGATTAGACTGTTGGGAGGGAATATGGTAGTGAAAGACTAGGATTTTCATACTTGCTGTAATGCAGGTGGGAATTTTTAGAAGTTCAAATTAAAATGGTGGCAGTAGAGATAGAGAAGACCTTGATTTGAAAGAAATATCTTCTTTACCAGATTCCTTTGGGACTTAATTTCGATGGGTAAATAGTGATTCCAATATTTTAGATCTGAGACCTTAAAATAAGAGCACTTCGCTTCCAGTAGAGGATGTTAAAATGGTAACTTAGGAAGGTTAAATGCACATGCATTTAGCCTAGCAAAAAGAAGGATGATTATGGGATGGTACAGAAAAAAACAAAACTGGAGCTCTAGTAGTGGGAGACATAGGGCTGATGTATCTGGATACAAATGATGGTTGAAGCTACCAGGATTTAATCAAGGAAATCACCTAAACAAAGTGAATGGCGACTATTACCTCAGGTAGAATTCTGAGGTTCATCAATATTCAATCATCAAAGGTCTATTTGAAGGAAGAGGAATCAACCATAGAAACTGAGCAGTAGTCCAGAATAATAGGAAAATTGGCTTCCAATCTTTCTTTAGTTGTTACAAGAAATCAAAGAAGCAGTAAGATTCTAGAGGTCAACAGTGTTAGTGCTGAAAATTTCAGCAAGGATTGGGAAGGAAAATATTTTCTGAGAAAGAAAATATCTTTTGAACATTGCAGTTGGTAACTGGGACCCCAATGGAGTCACCCAACTTTGAATGCTAGATGATTTTATAAGTCCTTTTCAATATAGTGCCTTCATTTGTTATCTCCTTTCTACATCAATTCTAATGATAGAGTTGTATTTTTCAAATTTATCTATGGATAGTTTTATTTTTAATCATATTTACTTATCCTCAGAATATCCTTATTTTAAATACTATAAGATTTTCCATAATTTGAACAGCTAATTCAGTCTGATATTTGAATTAAGGAAATCTAATTGTTGGCTATTCTTTGCAAATATACATGACCTATTATTCCATTTATTAATCTCATAAGTGATTTCCCATGTTAGATTGACAAATATACTAGGGCCTCACAAACAATAATTTCAAGCATTGCTTGGCACATAATAGAGATACTTGTAAGCAATGATTAGGTGAAAGAATGAGTCAGTATATTCTTCCACTTGGATTATTCCTACATTTTTTAAGCACTATTACATTGTCTTTGCTGAAGTACAGAATTATTTGACTGTTTTGAATCCTTAAATAAATATCTCTAAGAGGAAAATGAGATTATTAAACACTTTTATGTGAGACATTGCATGTGATTCTCATTAGCCCTATTTTTATCTTTTCCTAGCACTGTAGACTTAATTTTCATGATTTTTAATCAGGGCATAATTGACACCAAATCATTTTAGACTTTTACCAAGGGATTACTCTTAAATATTTGCATTGCTTTTTTTCTTTTTTTGTCCACAATAAAAATAGATTCATTATTTTATTTTAGGTTACATAAACTGTGCTCACTGTAAAAATATCAAACAGTACAGAGATATAATGATAAATAACATAAAAATCAATTGAAAAGCCACCCAAATGATAACCACAATTAATATTTACATTACTTAGGGACTGTCATTATGAAATATCCCTTTGTATCTATACTAATGCTTTTTTGCATTAAAATCTCCTCTCTGGTTTTAGGACAAATATTACCTGCTTTCTTTCCATTGATATTTTCATAATTTTTGTTTTTTGCATCCTCCTTTAACTTTTTTCTTCTTATAATTAGTCTCTTAAAAATATCACATAGTAGACTTTAAAATAATTTAGCTTGATAATATTGTTCTTTACTTGAAATATATAGTCCATTTTCATTTATAGTTAATTGCTGATATAGTTGGGTTTATGGCTGATTATTTTTTCTTTAACCCGTCTGCCTGTATTCCTTTTTGTATCTTTTATGCTTCCTGATGGATTTGGATTAATTAGGTACTTTTTGTTTTCTTTTTTTCCTCTATTAACTTACTAGATACATACTCTTTTACTGTTTTTGGAGTGCCTTAGGAATTTTAACATTCATCCTTGACTTATTAGAATCTGACCTAAACAGTTACTTTTAGCAATTCTCCGATATTGCTAGAACCTTGGGAAACTTTAGATCTTTCGATTGCTATTATTATTGTGATATATTTTTTCTAGAGATATCTTAAGCCTTGCTCAATACATTTCTGTGATTATTTTTATAGTCTATATTCCTTTAAATTTACCTGCATATTTATCTTTTCCATTATCCTTTGTTTCTTCCTGCATATCTGTTAATTATATTTATTTCTGAGACTATTTTGTTTTCTAAAAATTTTTTATTTGTTTTTTTTAGTTATACATGGCAGTAAAAAATATTTTGACATAATATGCATATATGGAATATAACTTCCTATTCTTGTGATTGTGCATAATGTGGAGTTATATGAGTCGTGAATTCATATATGAGCATAGGAAAGTTATGTCCAGTTCATTCTGCTGTCTTTTCTATTCCCACCCCCCTCCCTTCCCTTCAGTTCCCTTTGCCTAATCCAATGAATTTTTATTCTTCCCTCACCCACCCCTTATTGTGTGTTAGCATCTGCATATTGGAGAAAACATTCATTCAGCCCTTGGGTTTTGAAATTGGCTTATTTCACTTAGCATGATAGTCTCCAGTTCCATCCATTTACTAGCAAATGCCGTAATTTCATTTTTCTTCAGGACTGAGTAATGTTGTGTATATATACCACATGTTCTTTATCCATTCATCTGTGAGAATATATTTTTTTTTGTCTAAAGAAAATGTCTTTAGTATTTCTTTTGGTGCCCGTGTGCCAAATGTAAATTTTCTGTTTTCTCTCCGAAAATGTTTTATCATCTTTTGTAAACTTCATTTTTACTTTTTATAGAATTTGAGCACTTTTCTTTTTCTGTGCTAAGGATCAAACACAAAGCCTCGCTCAGGTTAGCAAGCATCCTACCACTGAGCCACACTCCAGCCCCCAGAATGTCACTTTTTTGGGGGGAGGAATATACTCAGAAGTGGAAATGCTGACATTCAATCATCCTATTTTTAGTTTTTGGTAACCTCCATACTGTTTTTTTTCTTTCTTTGGTAACTATGTTTATTATCTTGATTATGGAAATTGTTTTACAGGTGCATTTATATGTCAGATGACTGCATTTGCATCATTTTACATTGCCACCAATGGTACACAGGACTTCCAGTTTTTCCAGTGTTCTCACCAACACTTGTAATTCTCTGGTTTGGGATTATATTTTTGTTGTTGTTATTGTTTTTTTTGTAGTAGCCATCCCAATAAATACAATACACTATTCTTGAATGACACACATTGTACAAAATTTTATTTCCCCC